GCGGCATCAATCCAAGTAAACTTAAGGAAAAAACCCACGGCTATTTTTCACAAAACAAACAAGAAACCATATTTAATAATAATTAATAATTAATTTTCATTTTATATTAATATTACTAATATTTAAAATTTATTAATATTTATTTGTAGCTAATAGTAATAAAAAACAATTAATATTAACAAAAAAAAATATAATTGGAAAAAAGTGACAATAAGCTATAAAAACGCTACTCCAAGTAGTGTTTCAACAACTAACTTATGTCCATCCAAACATGTACCTAGAAAATAAACTAGCTTATTTTTACCAAACGGTGCCTACATATACCAAAAGATTACCAATAACCCACATATCACATATGGATTTATGAAAAAACATTTTTACAAACAGATGTTTGAAAATTGTATTAAAAATTTGATGAAAAAAATTAATTATTCATTGTTAATCTTTCGATAATCACCAGGGAATCACCGATGGTTGTTTAATTTTTTTTTTAAATTCACATTTTTAGCCGTTGTAGGTAATTCCGCCAGTGAATTTATACTTTAAAGACTTATCATCATCAACTTTATGTGAAAATTCAGCATGTCGACACTCTGTCACAAATCACCGACAACTTCTGGATGTTATTTAATTCGTTGCGAAGAGTGCATGTCTGGTGTCTAGTAGTATATCACCGTGATTGAAACTTTAATAAATTCAAGTGTATGAACATGACTAAAACTATGTGAAAATGAGGGTCACTTCAATCCTTTTTGGAAACTTTGTCATACGTGAACCAAAACTATAGACCATACCACCTTTATAAATTAAAACAACAAAATAGTCACTCTTCAATATTCAAACTCAAGAATCACCATACTGATTAAAAAGTAAAACTCCAAAACTTTATAATAAAACTAATTAAAACACATATGATTGAATCCAAATTTAAACCACACACAATTGAATAAATGCCAAAAACATATAAAATTTGTAATAAAACAGAACTAAGACCATCTGTAGTCATGAACTTGTTTCATGAACCTATTCACAGGTTCATGACTTTGTCACATCAGCTCTCCTTTTATATCACATAGGCTTTTTTTTCCTGCAGATCTCATAAACCTTTCATCCTCAATCATTGATCACTCCATTCAGTTGGAGCGGTTTGCCATGTCATCCCAACATCCACAACGGTGTTTTTATTTCAAGAAGCGGTCCACGAAATAATTTTGGATTTATGAACCTCAACGCTACAGATGCTCTAACTTCGACCTAACCCCATAGGGGCCTTTGGGGGCCACTTTTACATTCGTAATAGTTTGAAGATATAATAAATTCGTATTGCTATTTCTCAGTTGATAGTTTGAATGTTCTGAATTTTAGTTTTACATTAACCAATCTTTTTTTTTTTCTTTCTAAATTTAACAGTAGATAATAGCAAAAAGAAAAAAGAAGTTACATGCATATTATTTTGATCTATGAATTTTTGTAATATTATATATTTCGGCCCCTCAAACTACAACGATCGTATTCCATCTCTGACACCTGACTTTTATTTTAAAGAACCAATTTTTAAAATTATCGTATAATTGTACGATGATGGATTCATGTGATTTCAAATATATTTTTTCCGTATAGTTTAGAAGGAAGTCATAATTCAGTAGTACTACTGTCACTGAAAATGGGTCATGTGCTTCTGCTTCTCTTCTCTGCCATCTTCCACCATGCACCATCCCTTTCTTCCTCTCTCACTTACTATTACTATACTCTCATTTAACTCCCAACTCCACCACCACCACCACCGCCGCCGCCGCCACCATCGCCACCACTCTTCACTTTCCGATCAATCTTAGCTAATCAGCCATGAAAACCCACCAACCCAAACTCAAACCACCACCTCGTCCTCTCTTCTCTTGTGGTTTCTTTCGCTACTGCACTCAATCTGTACTCAGCCCCACCAATCCCAACCCGCCGGCGCTACCTCTTTCAGAACAACCGCCACCACCACCACCACCACAACCCCACTCCGAATCTTCTTCTTCATCGAATACTTCACAAAGCTTCACTCAATGGAGATTCTCTCACACACCCATCTCAACCAGCAATATCCTGGCGGACCCATCGCCGGAAACAACCCGAATGCACCACCAATCACCTCCGCCGCCACCTCCTCCGCCACCTGTTATTATTTCAGACCTTCAAGAGCTTTTCCACGTGGCAGAGCTTCAGTTCAGTACGGGTCTCGATTCGGACAAAGTGAAGGCAATCTACATGCTGCAGTATTCGTTGGTTAATCCACGCGCCGCCACGGAAGGTGGAGAGTTGGTGTCGTGTCCACCGGCGGTGATGAGAGGAGTGTTGGGTTGTTTGAAGGATAAAGCGGTGGCGAAACCGGCAACCAAGGTGTTGTTGGCGCTTTGTTTAGGTGAGTCTAACAGACACGTGGCGGTCGAGGAAGGGGCGGTGGGGAAAGTTGTGGAGGCGCTGGTGGATTTGGACGGTGGTGCGGTGGCGGAGAGGGCATTGGCGGCTTTGGAGCTTCTTTGTACGGTGGCGGAGGGGGCGGCGGAGTTGAGAGCACACGCGCTGGTGGGGCCGATGATGGTGGAAGTGATGAGGAGGATGGAAACCACCAGGGGGCGGGAGAACGCCATCGGGATCTTGGCGGTGATATTCGGCGGTACCGGAGGAGATGCGGCGGTGGGGTTTGCACCGCAAGAGGAGGTGGCGCGTGTAGTGATGCTGGCAATGCAAGGGGATTGTAGCGCCAGAGGAAGGAGAAAAGGGGCCCAGCTTCTGAAAATTCTTCAAGAAAATGAACGTTTAGATATAACGCAAGAAGTGGGATGAACGGCCACGATTTCATCTGGAGAATGTATTATTTAAAAGACCAATTATGCGATTTCTTTCTGTACTTCCAAGACGATTAATGAAAAATAAACGGAGGTTAACGGTTATGAATGTTTTGGAATTGACAAAAGGATAATAATAAAAATTTGATCCGGTCAACATGGTCCAATTTTTTGGACCATATTAACCAGATCATATAATAGATCGAATATATGTTCATATTAAGCCTTACCTTCAACGGGTTTCACTACTGAACCATTTACATTTGGATGATCAGTTCCATCCATAACGAGGTCGTGAGAACCATGCTGTTGTTTTCTAAGTAAAGACGTTTTTAAACATGATTTGTCTATACCTTTTTATGTTTATCCATGAACGTGTACAAAACTTACCCGTCTTCTAACAAATCAGCAAGGGAACAAGGTAGAAAACAAATGCAATGTGTCATTAATTTGATTAACACTTCTTATATTATTCGTCACATCAACATCTAGCTTTACAACTGACGGTTCTTGTATAAGACTCCATTTTAGCTTCTTTGGCTTTATCAAGACCAACAATATATCATCAGAACAATAAGATGCGTATGTAGAAACGTGTTCGATAATGATACATATATTAGAGTTAATCATATATAATTGCATATATAGCACTATCTTTCCTGCTCCCAGTATCGAGAATACTGCAATACCAGAATCTGACACATGTGAATGCGATTCAAAGTATAATATGTGTATGCTCATTCTCAAAATGGTCAAGGATTCATACATATTCGAACTCCATTACAACTCTCTTAAAGAATTTATGATTCAAATAGATTCCGCTAACCATTTTATTAAGATTTGTTTTGATGATGAATATTCAGTTTCAGTTTTCTAAAAAAATCTCATAGTTGAAAAGACAATTATATATGAATATGGTCAGGGTCGTTTTAATTGCAAATATATATATATATATATATATATATATAGAGGAGCGTTCAAATAAAAACTTGACCCATTTGTGTAAACCGTGTAAACCAATATCATGCATTCATTTTTTTGATCAATGGCTAAGATTGCATTACTTTATTTTAGGAAATTAAAAATTAAAAAATAATTAATATTTATTTTATTTCATCAATAAGGGTAGAATCGGTAAACAAATTTAATTCATAGTGTTTTTTATTCAAGGCAACCATATCAGGTAAATTAGAAAATGAAAATGTTTCACCATMATGAATCTATTTCATTAACTATTTTGCAATGAAACCTTTTCACATTGAAATTTTTACATGCAGATTAATTTCATAACGAACAAAATCCATTATGCATTATTTCATTAACTATTTTACATGAATCTGTTTCATTACCTATTTTACATGAATCTATTTCATTAACTATTTTACATGAATCTATTTCATTAACTATGCACCCGTTTCATGATACGTATATTTCATAACGAACAAAATCCATTTATGCACCCGTTTCATGATACGTATATTTCATAACGAACAAAATCCATTATGCACTCATTTCATGTTCATTCTACCAACTAAACTGATCAACTTCGATTACAATGCAACATTGATCACCATGAAACTAGTTCATGAATCACGAATCAATTAGAAAATGAAAATGTTTTACCATCATGAACCTATTTCATATACTATTTTGCAATGAAACCTTTTCACATTGATATTTTTACATGCAGATTAATTTCATATACAATAAAATATATTTCTAAAAGAATCTCATAGTTGAAAAGACGATTATATATGAATATATGGTCAGGGTCGTTTTAATTGCAATATATATATATATATATATATATATATATATATATATATATATATATAATCTTTGCCTAAGACTTTGTTAAACTGAGAGAACTGATTTTTAGCCATTCTCTCACTGATCAGCGAGGGAACTGGTTTTTGACCAATTTTCTTATTGATCCCTCGCAGATCATCGAAGGAACTGGTTTTTGTCAATTCTTTTGCTGATCGGCAAAAGTTTTTTTTTGTTGTTGCTGATACTTTGTTTTCTAGTAGTGTTTAAACACCCTGATGGGTTATATAACACCTCTTATGTCAATGTTTTTTTTTTCTAATGCTATTGTAATTCTTGTTTAAGATATTATTCTTATCTTATCTTTTATGTGTTATTATTATATTTTCAAAATAAAATTTAGTTTTTTATTCATTTTTATATTTTTTTTAAACATATTTGCATATAGTGGTTATAATAAATGTTATTTTAATAATAATATAATAATAATAATAATAGTACTAGTGGTAGTAGGTATTATTACTATTGTTATAAACGTTATCTTATTTGTAATAACCATAAAAATATATAAATACCAATAAGTACTTAATCTTGATGTTATTTACGTCAATAGCATTCAAATGATGCAATTTATTAAAGCATTTCCAGTATTTTCTAAAATCAAAAAATGGCGTTTTTGTTATTTATATGTCTTCAATGATGTAATACACATATTTGTTGTTTATTTAATATATTGAGTAAATTTGTATGGATTAGGTGTCTAAATAAAATAAGAGTGTTTGTACTTAAGACATTTTTTGATAAAAATAAGCTAACTTATTTTTCAGGTACACGTTCGAATGCATAGCATTTCAATAGGCTAATTTATTGAAACGCTACTTAGAATAACGTTTTGGTAGCTTATTATCATTTTTTTTCAATTATAACTCTCATTAATAAAATTTAAATATTACTAATATTAATTAATATAAATTTAAAATTAATTATTAATTAATTCTAATTATACATTTATACATAATGTTATTTATTGATTATTTACAATAGCTATTAGTTATATCATTATTTTTTTAATCTATACTATATTATAAATCATTTGACAAAAACTCTTAAAAACCATTTTTTATGCGTAAAGTATTGTTTATTAAGTATTGTTTACTTAAAACTCAAGATTGCAAGTAGATTGTACGTAAGTACAACTTATTAAAGTTTCACATATGAATTCATGTAACTAACTGCAGATAAATATAATCAAATACAGGATAAAACATCTTATTTTAAATATAAAATATAATTAGGATAAATCATTGAGTTATAACAGAATACTTAATTATTATCTTTATAAAATGTTATATCATTAAACCAAAAATAAATTATTTCGTTATTAAACTTAAATTAAATTATAATAAAAAAATAAAACTTTTAAATAGTTGATTTGATATTAACATTGATATATTTATTTTCAAAATTTTATTATATCTTCAAAATTATATTTAATTCAAAAATAAAATCATTATTGCTTTCTTAAAAACACATAAAATCGTATTATAACATCGACAGAGACAGATAATAAAAAAATAGAACGTTAAAGTTGAGATGTGTCTCGCTGCATTGCACGAGTACTTTTCTAGTTATTATTAAATATACTTAATTATCAAAACGTAAATATAATAATTTTAGTAATGTTTATGTACCATAAAAATTAAAATTATACTTATTTTGTTTCATAGATGATATGTGTTAAATAATTTGAATAAAATATTTAATTTAATTATTAAATATATTTTAAAAAAATTAATTCAATGCTTTTC